TTCACCCAGAAAGAGTTGAATCTTCATTAGAGGAGATGGCTTGAATTCCTTAAAGACTATGACATGAATATTCTACCATCCAGATAAGGAAAATGTAGTGGCTGATGCTCTCAACAGACTGTCTATGGGTAGTGTAACACATGTTGAGGAAGAAAAGAAATAGTTAGCCAAAGATGTTCAATGCTTGCTCGCTTAGGAGTTTGCCTTACAGACACATCATATGGTGGTGTGATAGTTCATAATGGATCAGAATCGTCATTGGTAGCAGAGGTTAAGGAAAAACAGGACAATGATCCTATATTAGTTCAGTTGAAAGGTGCAGTTCATCAGTAGAAGGTTGAGGTTTTCTCCCAAGGGGGAGATAGTGTGCTTCGTTACCAGGGTCGCTTATATCTACAGGAAGTATTTTGGTGGAACGACATGAAGAGGGACATATCAGACTTTATGGCTAAATGTCCTAACTATCAACAGGTTAAGGTAGAACATCAAAAACTAGGAGGTATGACTAAAGATATTAACATTCCTTCATGGAAGTGGGAAGTGATAAACATGGACTTCATTATAGGTTTACCTCGTACTCGCAGACAACATGCCTCTATTTCGGTGATAGTGGACAGAGTGACTAAGTCCGCTCACTTCTTGGCTGTCAAGACTACAGATTCAGCAAAGGACTACACCAAACTTTACATTAATGAGATAGTCAGGTTGAATGGGGTCCCCTTGTCTATCATCTCATATAGAGGTCCTCAGTTAACATCTCATTTCTATAAATCTTTTCAGAAAGGTTTTGGTATTCAGGTAAATCTCAGTACAACGTTTCATCCACAGACAGATGGTCAGGCAGAGCATACCATTCAGACCTTAGAAGACATCTTGAGGGCTTACGTGATCGATTTCAAGGGTAGTTGGGGTGATCACCTACCTCTCATAGAGTTCACCTATAATAATAGCTACCATTCTAGTATTCAGATGGCCCCGTATGAGGCACTATATGGGCGTAGATGCAGGTCTCCGATTGGTTGGTTTGAAGTAGGTGAATCAGCCTTGATTGGGCCAGAATTGGTTCATGAGGCTATGAAGAAAGTTCATATCATCAGAGATAGACTAAAGACAACTCAGAGTCGTCAGAAGTCCTATCCATATGTGAGGATAAGGAATTTGGAGTTCGAAATCGATGATTGGGTTTTCCAAAATGTATCACCTATGAAAGGGGTTATTAGATTTGGTAAGAAAGGTAAGCTCAGTACTAGATATGTAGGTCCTTATATAATCATGAAAATGGTTGGTAATGTGGCTTATGAGTTAGAGTTACCCGCAGAACTAGCAACGGTTCATCCAGTCTTTCACATTTCCTTGTTGAAGAAGTGTGTGGGTGATCTGAAATTGATAGTGCCATTAGAGAGTGTGGATGTAAAGGATAATCTCACTTATGAAGAGGTTCTAGTTTAAATTCTTGACCGTCAGGTTCGTAGGTTGAGAAATAAGGAAGTCGATTCAGTGAAGGTTTTGTGGAGTCAGTCCGTAGAGGGAGCTACTTGGGAAGCAGAAGCAGCCATGATGGTCAAGTATCCTCACCTCTTTCCTTCCGATTCTATTTTAGCTTGATGTAATAGTTCCTCTCAAGTCTCTCAGCTTACTCTTGTGTAATTCAGTTATAGTATCTTGTTCCCTTAGTTATTCTTGCATTTCAGCATATTTGCATGTTCTTAGAACTCAGTTCAGTTAGATATCAGTTTCTAGTAGTTAGTGGTAGGGATTGCAACTCCTTCCCTCCATACTCAGCTTGTTTAGACTTCATTTGAGGACTAATGTTCCCAAGGGAAAGATAATGTAACACCTAGGATCTCAAAATGAAGAAAATCCTAGTTTCATAAAAACTGGTGCCAGTACCAACAGAACCACCAATGAAAATAGAAAAACCACGGACTGTAGGTGGGGTTCTGTCGTTAAGGTCCAAATTTGATGGTATGTGATCCCACCCATGGTCGACCAGTACGGTCCGTGGTTGGACCTACAGACCGTACGTAGGTGAGGGTCAGCACTCAATTGGAGGAAAACGGTTGTTGGGTCAACTTCAAATAGTCATATCTTTTAGCACAAAATGAATTTGGTGGTACATGACCTATCAAATTAAAGATAATTGAATCCTCTTTCCAATGCCACCAAGTTTGCTAAAATCCAAGCTTGGAGTAAAAGTTATGCTCGTTTTAGTGAAGCCCTGTCGGGTAGAGCATGAACGATGACCCCTAACGACGGTTGGTAGTTCAAACGACAGCCCGCCAGTCCTGTAGTAGATGACACTCGTCAGTTTTAAGTCAATGTCGTATTGGTCTTTTTACCTATTTATTAGGCACTCAAACTACATCGTTTGATGCCTAAACTACGTCGTTTTACTCAGTCTAAGCCTAATAACCTAGTCAGACATATCCAGAACCCTCATTCTCCAAAAATCATCAAAATTAGAACGAAAAGAGGAGAAAGAGGGCGTCAATTTCTTTCAAGAACAAGCAACAATGTTCTTCAAGTTTCATCCCCGAAATCCAATGGATTTCTTAGTAGATTTCGTCACTAGATATGTGGAATTTCACTAGTAGGTTCCTTTCATCCACTAGGTCCCTAGAATTCAGTCAGAACCTTATTCTACATAACTTGTTTAGACCTAGAGTTTTTAAAATCTCTGTAATTTATTGTGATTTCAGCTGCTATATAATCCATAGTCTAAATATCATGTTTGTGTTGGGAACGTTGTTTAATTCCTTGTATAAAACTCAGAACCCTAATTTGTGTAGATTCTCTTAGTTCATGAATTACACTTGCTAGGTCAGTTAAAAAGATAATAATGGTTCAGATTTCGAACGTTACATTATCAGTATACAAATGCTGCATTCTCTGTTATCATATTAGTATTTTGAGCTATTTAGTATTTCGGTTACATTTCAGTCATATACATATTCAGTTGGGAGTAGACTTAGCACCGGGTTGGACTAGGGTTCAACGTATCCTCAGTCCTAGAACTACGTGCCCCCATATGATTATAAGTCCCCTCTGTTAGGCATCAGACTTAATGATCACGCTAGTCATGCCTTTATACCCCTAGAAAGGTATATTGGGTCCTCTCGATCGGGCATATACGTCAGACTCAACGTTTAGCTCACGTGGTTTATGTCGGTTAATAGTAGCTCTCACAGTCAGACTCTTAGTGCATTTGACCAGGTTTTCAGTATATACTTCATCATTCAGTTCAACATGTTATTTTCTTGATTAGTTGTTGGTCATTGCATTCAACTTAGCGTTTCAGTTATGTTTCAGTATTTACATTCTTGCTCAGTTTATGTCATTGCTCAATTATGCTTTGTTCAACTTATATATGTTTGTTCAGCTTAGTATCTATATCTTGCATACTCAGTACATTCCAAGTATTGACGCATAGTCTGTGCTACATCCTTTCATGATTTAGGTTCATGTACTCAACATTCAAATCACGCTTAAATCGATTATTGGTCCGCATTCAACAACTTCAATGGTGAGTCCTTATATTCTGAGGACAATAGACATGCTTTCATTTTAGTCTTTATATTCAATTTTCAGTTTTGTTAGAGTTAGTTATGGGGCATGTCCCAACAACTCAACCCAGTTAGAGGTTTTTCAGACATAGTAGTAGATGCAACTTGAGTTGTTAAGTGGTGTTTCAGTCATCACTAGACTTTCATTATATTTTATATATTCAGACTAGTTGGGTTTTTTCCCACTTTCAGTTATTAATTGTTTTAGCTTCCGCATAGTACATATCTTATTCAATTATTCTCATTATGCTTGATATATGCCAGACATAGGGTTAGCTTGGGGTTACTCGTGATCCTATGTCCCAGGTTACGTCAAGGGGTAGCTTCGGGGCGTGACAAAAGGCATCAAGTTATAACATGGCAAGATAACAACGCGACTAAGGTAAACACGCTAAATTTCCTGAATTACTCGAAAAAGAAGGCTAAGGCGTGGATTCTACCAACCAAATAAGATACATGCTAGGAACCCCTCGCAAAGCTAGCTAATCAACATGTAAATACCAACATCAGCTCAATCTAAGATCGGTAAGTCGTAGCCTACCTACCGATCACGCACACTACAAAGTCTACGAATCCACAGTTTTACCCTTCTGAACCTCCTTCTATCTCTGCCACACTATCAAATAAGTGATCACGATGTCAATATAGACATAATAATACCCATATTGCAGTATAAAATTGTGGACCTAAAATTGGGTAAAAAATGGATTAGTGGGCTCTGCACACAGAATTATGAAACTAACTATGTGAACGAGTCCAAACGAGCTCAAGGACCTTGTGCCCAAAAGTTGGGTTCAATTCGAGCTCTAATTTAGCCCAAAACAACCCACACAAAATAAAAGCAACAAAACCACCATTAAAGAGATAAATAGGAAGGTTCGGGATGATAATTTATCACAAAAACGAGCCCCCAACACAATCTCAATGATCCCAACATAAAGCTTTAGCAATTCCCAACAATTAGCACAAAAATTAAGCTGAATCAAAGCTCAATTGATCATGAATTCGATTTTGGAAATTTGAGAAAATAAGCTGAAAACGGGTCTAATCTCAAATAAAGCCAATTAAATTACATCCACGACCGCAAGTCTGATGGTCGCGAACGTGATAGTCAAATGGGTTCGATCAACGCTCACCCTTCAATTTGAATGTATTATTTCATGTTAAATTAAACATTCTAATAATTTATTCTCATTTTAAATTTCACTTGCATAAAAAAAAGTCACTTAAGAAACATCAAATTAAAGTTGAATAAACCAAACTAAATCCAATTTGATGCACTTTTTTCAAAATTGAAAACCAAAAATTGGAATAAATTTTTTAACAAAATAGAACCGAAGAAGGTACAATGCTTACTTATGTCATTTGTCTAATTTTTTTGTACCAATTTTCGGATTATATAAACCCTAAGTAAGAAATGGAGTAAACCAGCCACTACGAAACTGAAATCGAAATCGTGTAAAAGAGCGATGAGCAGCGTAATTGGTGGTAAAGTGTGGAATGGAATAGGCAGAAAGGGTTTGTGGAATGGAAATAGTAGAAGATGGTACGGTCTAATTCCGATGGTGATAGAGCATTCTTCCCGTGGAGAGAGGGCTTACGACATATTCTCAAGGCTGCTCAAAGAGCGTATCATTTGCATCAATGGACCCATTAACGATGACACTTCCCATGTTGTCGTTGCTCAGCTTCTTTACCTTGAGTCTGAGAACCCTTCCAAGCCTATTCACATGTACCTCAACTCTCCCGGTGGCGCTGTTACTGCCGGTCTTGCTATCTACGATACTATGCAGTACATCCGATCTCCAATCAATACTATTTGTCTAGGTCAAGCAGCTTCAATGGGATCCCTTCTCTTAGCTGCTGGTGCCAAGGGTGAGAGACGTTCTCTCCCTAATGCTACAGTCATGATTCATCAGCCTTCTGGTGGATATAGTGGTCAAGCTAAAGATATGACAATTCACACCAAACAGATTGTTCGGGTATGGGATGCTTTGAACCAACTATACTCCAAGCATACGGGACAACCAGTCGAAATAATTCAGAAGAACATGGATAGGGATTATTTCATGACAGCCCAAGAAGCCAAGGAATTTGGGATAATTGATGAGGTTATCGATCAAAGACCAATCACTCTGGTAACTGATGCTATTGCTAACGACGCCAAAGATAAAGGTTCAAGTTAGAATTTCTGGTAAGACTGAAGCTTCTTCCCAAACTTAAAGGGAGAGAGAGAGAGAGGTAAAAGGAAAAGATAGAATGAAGGAATAAAAGGCTAAACTGTTTTTATTGATTTATAGTTTTCCTAGGTACTATGTAGATATAAGACGTAGACAATAATCGGGAAATGAACATCTGCAATGCACTTTTATGCATATTTTCTTTGCATTGCTGGTCGATCCAGTGTTTATTACTAATGTGTAAGAAAAAGATAACATTTTCTTTGTAATGCTTAGGAAAGTCTCTGGGTTACTTGCTGCTGTTAGTACTTGTGTGCAAGTTGGATGAATTGATGTCTCAGTTCTTAATTTTCCTACTTTTAAACTTTAGTAAGTTTGTAAAAACAATCTAATATTTTCTCAAAAACAAGAGATGCAAACTATGACTATTAGATGTATAGACACGAAATGTTACTTAAGTGCATCTTTAGGCCTAAAACCACTTTTGTGCTTCAGTCTAACAGCAACTGAGAGCTAGTACTTTTCTGCCTATGCCCTTCAGTTAGTTTTGGACTAATCTTGAGAGAACAAGTCTTGGATAATCGTGAAAATTCTTAGCAGTTGTCCCTTTGGGGATGTCCTATTGATTAAATTACTTGAGTGAATTCTTTTTCTTTACATCAGAATCTTTTTCCTTGCTTGGAGTTGTTATGGAAAAGAACTAAGTTTGACATAGGCGAGAAGGCTTTAACATTTTCGCGATGAAGCTAAAAGCAATATGCTGGAGCATGAGAGTTTTGAATGACAAAGACAAGAGAAAAATGGTTAAGCTGCCGCTAAAAAGGTGGGTACTGACCTTATTTGTTTAATTTTTAACCAAAATGAAAGCCAACAAAGGCATGAGATAAATGGTGGGCTCAAATGGGCTGAATAGGCTGAGATGGAGGTTCAAGGTAGTATTGGGCATGTAGTCATTTATTGGGACAAAAGAACTTAGAGATGCATTGAGAAATTATTGGTTTGCATTTGGCCACTGTTCATAAGGAATAATTTAAATCTAGTGTCAACTGTATTTTCACAAGGATTTATGGTCAGGTGACAGTAAAACTACGGATTGAGGAACTTAAAAATTCATAATAAGTGATTGTACATTAAATTGCTGTGGAGAGTCAATGAGAATGGAGATGAGCTGTTGAAGGATATAATCATTCAGATATGATAGGAATAAATATTGGAGCTCTTGTTGATTCTCATGCATACTAAAAAGGGGGTATGGAAATAGATAAGCAAGTTATGACCAGAATGTCAAAAAGTATGTAAAACTGGAGGTTGGGACTGGGAGCATTATGAGGTTTTGGTAGGATGTTTGGCTTGAGGGTGGAAGACCAATGGATAAATTTCCCATTTTCTACTGTTTAACTATAATAATACAATGTACAGTGGCTAAATGTCATACAAGGTGTGGATGGCAGTTTTATTTCAGCATAATTTGAAGATTGGGAATTAGATGAAGTTAGTCAATTTATTATATCCTCTGGAACCTACAGTCCTTGACATCAATTGGTTGGATTTTCAGATTTAGTTATCAGGGAAAAATTGAAAATATTCAGTTAAAATTTGTGTTGGTTGGATTAAAGTTCTGGATGACTGTTTATCTAAAAATATGCTACAAGGGAAAGGCTTCTACCTTTGCAGCAGATGCTTTTCTGTGAAACGACACAAGATTATGCAGCTCATCTTCCCTTACACTGCAAACTAACAAAACTGGGTTGGTTTTTTATTCTAAGCATTGTCTGGGTGAACTTGGTGATGTGACAGTGAGATTTAATGGAGAGCTGGAGTGTTACAAAGTGAGCAGAAGCTGGAAACCGATCTGGAAGACCATCTCTTTTGCATCATATAGACTATTTTGTCACAGTGGAATAAGATATTCTTTTAAGATCAAAAACATCAAATCTCTTTTGTAAAAGGTAAATGCCTACAGAATCTGTATTTTTGGTGTAGTCGTAGCATGATGGAAAATCCGTCGTAATATTTTGAATTTTTTGAACAGCAATGCTATAAGTGTTTTTTTGTTTCTTCTTGTGCAGTACCTCCTTGATACTCCAATAAAATTTAGCTTATCTTATATTTAAGAAGGCCCCAACTTATTTGGGACTGTGACATAGTTGTTAGTGTTAGAGATAGGGGGTTAGTTGTGCTAATTCTTAAATTGGTAATCTTTTCACATGGGATGACTATCACACCTATTTTGTATTTAACACTTACATATAAGTATGCCTTGTATTCATCATATGAAGACATCAATATGTTGCTACAGTTTCTCTGTTATACTCTGTTTGGCTAAACTTCCAAATTCTACGTATTTTGAGAAGTGCTTTCCGATAAAGTACTTTTGGAGAGTAGCAGTTTGTGTGTGACTAATCAATTTCAAAAGCACTTTTGTCAATATTAGAGCAAACTTTTTGCTTGGCCAAGGTCCTAAACCAATTTTTTGGGAGAAGCTACTTTTCCCAGCTTCTGAATAACAACTTCAGTTGCTACTCAAAAGAACTTATGTTTTTCCTAAAAACTTGACCAAACACCTCACCTTTCTAAAATAAGCACTTTTTCAAAACAAGAAAAAAGAAAAAAGGAAAAAGAAAAATGAAAAAAAGAGAGACCTTTTAGCTCCCCAGAAGCTTGGCCAAACTAGCTATTAATCATGACCAATAAAGAATGAGTTACATACCTAACTATTCTATGCCTAGTGGCAGTTTCAAATGCACCGGGCTTTCACAACTCTCAAAAATGCTTTAGAAAACTTTGCTAGAATTGCTGACAGGAGACACATGGTTAAAAAGCTTCTACGGGCCCAAGACGTGTCTAACTTCTAAATAAGATAGAACCATTGTTCTTTTTCCTGGTGAGGATGAGATGAGTAATTAAAGTCACCATTGTCATAACTTGGTATTCTGACATGACACAAAGAAACTGTAAAGTAATTTGCTGGGACATCCATAGTTGCCAAAGAATTGTTGTCTACTTCAGCTAACTGGGGTTATGATAAATGGAACTAAGAGGCACCCTTCAGGTGTCTGTTATTAATTCTGGTACATCCTTATGGATTGGATTGGTCTTTTCTGGTGGGTTATCCTTAATTGTCTTATCTCTCGAACTTATTCGTTTGAGTTTGATGGCTGCATGGAAGCAAAAGATAATTTTGTTTAATATTTGTGATTTTCAGTCTGCTATAGCTCCACTTATGGACTAGGGAGATTCTCTTAGGTATGAAAGCCTCGTGTCACTAGGGTTTTAAGTAGAATATTTTGGGAATGGAATCTCAGAGGAGATAGAATATTTCGATTCATAAATATGAAGTCATTGATTCTCAATTTTGAGTTGAGATTTTCTTTTATGAGTGATACACGAGCTTCAGGGAATCTGGTTGGTTCTAATCCAGGTTATATATAAGGCGTATTCTTTCCATATCAAAGAAAGTATACTAAAACATTCTCGAAAATTTTGATATCTTTCGATTTTCCTGTAAGATACAGCGAAAATGTGCCTTCAATGAGGAGTAGAAGGGAGCTATCATTGGTAGTTGGCAAAATTAGAAGCATCTTCTATCTCCAATTTTTGATCACCTGCTTAAAATAGTCACTGCTCAATAGGTGGTAACAAGGAACCCCTTATATACAAGACAAGGAGCAGCCATGAGGACTTTACTTATTGATTTTGTAAACCTATCTTAGGTTAAAACTGATGTTTTCACTGTAGTAGAGTAATCAATAGTTCCAGGGAATTGTGGCTTTCTACGCGTTTTGATGTTTTTGGATAAAGGAACTCGAGTATATATCGAGTCCACTTTATATCTTGAACAACTTCCTCTGTCTTCTAAATTCATTGCTTCATTTGCTTTGTTTCTTGTTATTTTGTGATGCCATACTTTTCTTACAATCCTGCTTGGAAAGCTTTTTCTTTGAACCGAGAGTCTATCGGCATCAGCCTCCTACCCCACAAAGGTAGGGGTGTAAGGTCCACATACATTCCCTCCTCAGACCTTAGTTGTGAGACTACACTGGGTATGTTGTTGAGGCTAAAAAAGTCATATCTAATTTCTGAAGACTTGTGTTGCACTCTGTAAGGTTTTGTTTGATCAACTAAATAACAATTATGTGGTCGTTTGATTTTGAGTGATTCTCTTCATGTCTTACATTGAAAACTTTTCGCTGGGAAGATTGAACTAAATTTAGGTGTGGTTGATTTGTAATAATAGGACTTGTACACTAGCAGTCAGACTCGAAATAATTTAATCTTTATATTCAAACTAGTGCATCACTGCTGGCACTTGAAAGCTCCGACTTCATTTATCTGCTTGAATTTCAGACAGCAGTACAAATTTGGGAAGTTGAGGTTGCTTCCCTCTCCTACTTGATTTTTGAAAATATATTCCCATCATATGCCCCTCAACTGATAATCAATTTGGAAGCTAAATCCCTTTGATTTCTATGGTTTGATTAAAGTGAGGATAAGTGATTATTCTTAAAACTGGTATTCAGTAGGTTTATAAGAATGGAATGCACTTCATTTTGTATAATATCGTGTCTGAGTTTGTCAACCTGGTAGTGGATTCTTGATCTGTCCACTAAAACCCTCCCCCTTTTTCTCACACACAAGACAAAGAGGTTGCAGAAGATAACTTGTGTTTGATATTCTTCATTTGCTTAAGTTCATTGATTGATTATTCAACCCGACCAGAAGCATGGAAGTAGTTTTCTTCCAGTGGCTCGGGTGGCATTTGGATGTGTTGGTTGAGATACTGACAATCTGTTTCATTTGGATGCAGGGATCTACAATCTGCGTTGATACCTGAGAACTTTCATGCGATATTTCACTTACGGAGAATAGATTAGCATGAGAACTTTCTTGAAGTAGTAATAAGAATAATTTTCAGCAATGTAAGTCATTGTTTATTTTTACATGTAGAAGTGAGGAAGAATTGGCAGTACAAAATTCCTGATTTAAGTTTCTCATTTTGAGCTCAATGCCAAAGATGTTATTTACAGAATTTTTCTTCTAACAAGGCCTATATGGCGATATGTTATTTAACACTGCTTTAGATAATAGAGCTTTTGTGGGCCGCGAAGCTTGGTTGGTATATTTGTTTGGAAAAAAATTGTAAAAAATACACAAATCTCATTATGTTAAGAGTCAATAACATCCTATCCCTACTCCGTTTCAAAGTACATTTTTAAATTTTTTTTAAGAATTTCATATACATCACTCAACGTCCTTACTCCGTTTCAAAGTACATTTTTAAAAAAAATTTAAGAATTTCATATACATCACTCAACGTCCTGATATATGGTGTCTCAATACATTACATTTGTTGATGCAAGACGCACCTGTCTCGGTACATGGCTCAACATCCCTATACATCTCGTCTTGATACATTATCTTTGTTGAGACACATCTGTCTCGATATAGCGCTCAATGTCCTGATACATCGTGGCTCGATACATTACCTTTGTTGATACAAGACACCTGTCCCGATACATCGTGTAAGAGTGATGTATACGAGAATAGGAGAGAGTGATGAAAATAGAAATTTTTGTAATTTTTTTAAATTGTAGGAAATTTTAGAAAATATGATAAAATAAGTTGTGTATTTAGGTTTTTCCAAAAAAGTTACATAATAAGCCAAATATGTGATATGTCCTATACACAATTATAGTTTAAGAGAATTATGACCTATATCTATAGTTAAGAATTTACAGCAAATATCTCTCTCCCTCGCCTCTATCTTCTCTCTCTCTTGCCTCTCTTCTCTTTGTCCTCTCTCTCTTTGTGCAACACAAATACAAATGGCAACATTCAAAAATATAAATGATAACAATCAATGATACAAATACAAATGGCAACATTCAAAAATATCAATGATACAAATACACATGGTAACACAAACATAATAATAGGGCAATAGATGAATACAAATGCACTTGAATACAAATGGTAACATTCAATGATACAAATGGTAACAATCAATGATACAAATACACATGGTAACACAAACACAATACACTGACATAGATGAATACAAATGCACATGAATACAAATATAATTTGTTTCAAATTACGACAACAATAAAATTGTATCTGTTGATACAACTTGTATTCGTTAATGTACTTGATATAATTGATTTGCATCAACGAGTTGAATACAATAATCATTGCTACAAATTAATTTTTTTAATTGTATTTGTGATACAATTATCAGTTAGATACACAATTATCGATCACATATACAAATTAATTGTATCTTTCTCGCTTCTCTCCTACTCTCTCTACCATTCTAGCTTTGCTTCTATCCTAGTATCTAGTTAACCGATCAATTGTATCTATGGTACAGTTATCAACCGGATAAACAAATCAATTGTATCTCTTTCCCAAATTCCGCTCGCCTCTCTCCTTCCTCTCCCAATCTTGTTCTTCTCTCTTCTCCTAGTAACATGTAGATACGAATTGTAATTAAATAATATATAACTAAGAAACCTGCTTATGTTTCTAGTCTTTCCTATTTTTGTAATTTCCCCTATTTGTTTGACATTGTCATAAATTAAAAAAAGAAGACTTTCAAAACTTGTAATTAAATGTGTCATAGCATTTAAAAGGCATTAAAGTTTTCATTAAAATTGAAATAAAACGTTCAAAATTAAATATCTTCAAGTGAAAATTACAATAATATACTATTTAAGACTTTAATTAACAATATATGCACATACTTATTTTTAATTACAGACATAGTTTTTAAATTACAAACATAGCAGAAAAAAATATTTTTTGAATTTAATTTAATTATTTAATTTCGATCTACTTCTCTCCTCTTTTTCGGATTATGTGCCTAACTTTTAGGGATGATAATTATGGTATTAAAATTTCTCTCCCATTACAGTTTCTAATACACACGTTTCTGTGTTTTTCAAATCTTATTTTATTTTTATTCCGTTTTATACAAAAAATGTAATTAAAGTAAAATCTTTTTGTCTTCCCAACAATTTATTCTTTCTTAACATTCATTATTCCCTATGTAGTTTTAATTTGGTAGAAATTTGCATCATTATTATCTTTTCTCTTCCGCCCATCTCTTCACCGTTGTGATCTTCTCTCTTCAGTTCATCTCTTTCACTATTGTTATCGTTTCTCTCCAGTTCATCCCTCAATATTATATTTTTATAGTTTGATTATATGGACAATACTCTATGAAAAAGTCCTAGGCTTAATAAATCCATCATAGTTGTTAATAGTCCTCCTATTGTATGTTCAGGACCTTCGTTTGAGTTGAATGCATTCACGAAATCTCCGATTAAAAAGTTGGAGTATATTCTCATTAGTTCTTCAAACAACTAGGTTAAGGAAAAAAAAACTACCATTGTTACACCAAATAAGAAGGGTAAGGAGAAGATGGTTGAATCTTCCGATTCGAAAAACTGTCCTCATGATAGTGATTTTGAGGACAAAATTCTCATTGTCAAAAGATTAAGATTAAACATTGAATCTAAATCAAATTGAGAAATCGTTTGAAAAGGTACTAATTTTATTTTTGATTTCCATTCTGTTCATATTTGTGACATGCAATTTTTAGTGTATACTTTTTATTCTTAGAAATACGATGGTGTTGCTGTGAAGAAGGTATCCAATCGGAGAGGTGTGAGTTCGGGTAATAAAGAAAGAAAAAAATCGACACCACCTTTTAAAGTGTTTTTATTATTTTCGTTTATTATATTAGTGTTGATTATTTAATTGTTTGACTTAAATTGTTTCATCAAACTTGATTTTTAGTTATGTATTTTATAATTATCATGGCCTCACAATCATAATTTGTTAATTTACTATTTTTTAGATCAAGAAGATACAATCTCATTGGTATTTTTATGTCAATATGAAAGATTTATTGATATAATGAATCGGCTATCCAAACTAAATATTCTTCATTTGATTAAAGAGTCGTCTTTTTAATATCTTCTTAATTTACAACAAATGAAGGTTCAACATCAAGTTATTAGAAGTTTGATTCATCACCAGTTGACTAACGATCGTGATGACGTGCTTATTTTTAATTTTGCCAATGAGATTTGATCATGATATTGATAGTCAGTCCAAGCTCATTGATCGTTACTTGCCGAATTCAAGCAATAGAGTGCTGAAAGCTGATCTAATAAGGATTTTCAATGAAGATGGGTTGACTAGGACTGAAGACATTTTTAATACGACGATGATTTATTTCAGCAATATGTGTATATATAAATATATATATTGTCATCTCCACCAAACGCATCATATGTTTCAAAAGATCACTTTCTGTGTGTTGAATTTGGACAACACAATACCTACCCGAGGTAATCTTTCAATTTTTTTCTCTAAGGGATTCAATATCTAGTCAAATGGAAAAGATTAAGGCAATGTGACGTTTTCTAGGTTTCCTCTTGCGTTGTAAATTTGATTTTAAGAATGTTGCAATAAAGTTGATGAATCTATTGCAATTTGTACATGATATCGTACTCCTCGCATCTTCAATTGGAATATTTCCAAAAATAAAATTTATTTTGAGCGTCTCAAGAAAGACATATTCAGAAAATATGGCAATCAGGTAATACCAATTTTATAATTACAATTACTTAATTTATTATTTCTATGTTTATACTCATATCTATAATTATTATTGTGATGCTAGTATACATTTGAAGATGTTGTTTTGATGGATGATGAGCAGAGGCGGATTTACGTTGTAGTAAGGGGTATCACGTGACACAACTTTGTTGGAAAAAATTTACTAAATACGTATATATAATCAAAAGGTAAATTAAATAAAAGTTAAAATCTGATAAAGCGACACTGCTTGTCACAAGTGATGTTCCAGCTCAGTTGGTCAGATGCCTCAATTGTGAACACAAGGTCCTGTGTTCAATACTCCACTACTTTATTTATTAATTTTTATTTTTTCATCTCGTATGAATTAACAAAATTTTGACTTCATTTATTTAATTTTATTTTTCACCTCGTATGAATTAACAAAATTTTGAACTAGTTTATTGAATTAGATAAGTAATGAATTTTTAGTGATTCTTTGGTCCCTTATTTATACATACTCTTTTTTGATAAGTGTTTAATATCCCCCCCCCCCCCCCCCCCCGCTCATCATTATTTGTTCAATATACTAAAAATATTGTCCAACTTTACTTGTCTAGTTTGGATAATTAAGAGATAAGTGACCGTTTTGTGTCCACTTTAACCTTGCAATTAAACAATATTTATTGATCGATCTTATAATTAATAAAGGTGATATAATAAAATACCCCTCTATTTATTATTTCTTAAGGGGTGTGTTAAGTCAAACATGGACCAATAAAAATATGGAGGGAGTATTACTTTTAATGAGGTTTATTTGAATCTATTTCAAAAATGAAAATTCATCGACCTAAAGGATATATACGTGGATTGTACTTTACTTGTATTGTATTCTATTTTAATACAATAATATTTTTTTTAAAATTAAAATATGACACCACTTATAAGAATTCTTGTGTACGCCATTAATGATGAGCTTGCCATTATTGAGATGGACGATTTTAATTTGAATGATTCATCATTCAACAGGTTGGGAGAACCTAGATGCTCGGTACGTCAAAATGAGAATGTTCAGTCTCACAATGACATACGTCAGAACTAAAAATAGTTGCTTCACAATCCTTCACATCATGTTGGAGTAGATTCGAGTTTTACAAGTAATAAAGAATTTCAGAAGTTTGCTCAAGAAGTTAATAATGTGTGTTAAAACTATTATCCATTACTTTTTATATATTTTTTTTAATGAAAATTAATATTAATTGTATTTTGTTAAGTGCGTAATGAGTTGAAAAAATTTGAGAAAAATGTAGAGACTCAGTTTACTAAAATGAAGGCTTTTATGGATTCATAATTCAAAAGTATCATTGAAGAGATAAAATCTCTTCAAAAGGATGTTGCACTGTCACGATACAAAACGAGTCATGAGTGGCACCCACACTTAAC